GTCCGCAGCGCCAGCGGCCGCGGGCAGGGCCGCCGCCCTCCGCAGCCCGCGCCGGGCTTCCTCCCCGCGGCCCCGGCGCGCGTGTGCGTGCGCGCGTGTGCCCGTGTCTCCGTGAGAGAGACAGGGACAGACTTCTAGAGAGACAGCTGGTGATGCTGGTGTTCAGGAGAAGCGTGCCTAACTGTGGTGGTGCTGCCGGTGCCACTGCCCGCCGGCGCCCAGCCTGTGTACAAGACAGGACGGAACTGTTAGTGTGGCTGTGACTAGTGGATGTGGCCGTGTGCGTGAGGCACTTGTGACAGTAGAGGTATTTTGTGTAACTGTGTATCCAGAGCGACAACATGGCCCTGAGAGCGTATGGCCAGGGTGGGAATGATTGTCCGGGGGTGTGACAGGAGAGGACAGTAGCGGTACATGTGTTAGGGTAGTTGGTTGAACTCTTTCCTGAGTTGTTTGTGATGCTCACATGACAGCTGTGACTGCTGGTTTCCAGGGAAGGTGTCATTGGGTGGCTGTGACCAGGTGCATCACTGAGAAGCGGCTGCACACGAGACATGGTTGGCGAGAGGGCTGGGAAAAGTGTCATCTTAAGGGTGATGGTGGCAGTCATTTGCCAGCAAAGTGTCACCTCAAAATGGAGTGTCACCTACTTTTGTCACAATGATCAATTCCTCCTAGGCTTCAGACTACATCTTCACCCACTGGCCCAAGGACTGACTGACTGACTGACTTCCTTCCTCCCTCCCTCCCTTCCTCCCTTCCTTCCTTCCTTTCTCTTTTATTTTCTTTCTTTTTCTTTCTTTCTTTCCTTCTTTCTTTCTCTCTCCCTTTCTTTCTCTTTCTTTCTTTCTTTCTCTCTTTCTTTCTTTCTTTTTCTTTCTTTCTTTCATTTTGTGTGTGTGTGTGAGAGAGAGAGAGAGAGCGAGCACAGGAGTGTGCACACATCAGCAGGGGAGGGGCAGAGAGAGGCGGGGGGGAGAGAGAATCCAAGCAGGCCCTGTGCAGTCATCACAAACTGCAAGATCATGACCGGACCTGAAACCAAGAATCAGACGCTCAAACAACTGAGCCGCTCAGGCACCCCACAAGGACTTAGTTCTTCAAAGGAATAACTTATCTCTTCAGAATCTTCAACGTCTCCCTCTCCTTCAGCTCCTTCCAATCTGCATCTTTCAGAACAACTGACTCTCATCGAAGTCATTCTGTCCTCCTTCCTATGGCGGACATTGCTGGACACTACCTGCGAGAATTAGGGGACCCACTGCCCAGCAACACCATCTTCTCCCAATACTCGTTTCTTCTTAGTTTTCTTTACGCAACAGAGTTCCTCTGGGCTCTCCCCTCACTCCTATCTGTTCATGTTGCTTCCATCACTATCTGTTATGGGTTGAACTGAGTCCCTCAAAAAGTCATATGTTGACATCCTAACCCTCAATACCTCAGAATGTGACTTTATTTGGAAGTAGGGTCGCTGCAGGTATAAGAAGTGAAAATGAGGTCCTACTGGAGTAGGGTGAGCCCACCCCACTCCAATTTGACTGGTGTCCACGTGAAAAGGGGAAACTTGGGGGCTCCGGAGTGGCTCAGTTGGTTAAGCATCCGATTCTTGGTCTCGGCTCAAGTCATGATCTCACAGTTTGAGCCTCAGGTTGGGCTATGCACTGACAGTGCAGAGCCTGCTTGGGATTCTCTGTCTCTCTTTCCGTCCCCTGCTTGCTCTCTCTCCTCTCAAAATAAATAAATAAGCTATTTTAAAAAGGGCAAATTTGGACATACACACACACACACACACACACACACACACACACACACACGGAAAGCATCTTGCGAAGATGCAGGTAGCATGTTCTTGTGGCCACGAAGCTTCTACATGCCAAAGATTGCCAGCACACCACCAGAAGCCAGAGAAGAGACCTGGGACAGATTCTTCCTCACAGCTCTCAGAAGGAACTGATCTTTCTGGCACTTTGAAGTTGGACTTCTAGTCCCCAGAACTGTAAGACAATAAACTTCTGTTGTTTAAGACAGCCAGTGTGTGGTACTTTGTTATGGCAACCCTGAAAACGAATATATCATTTAAATGCTGCTGGCTGCCAAACCTCAAATTCCAAGCCCCAAGCCCCAGACCTCTTCAGGAAATGAACATCCTCTAATTTGTGCCTAGATTTTAATGTATAAAGGTGACTGAGTGACAACGTGGAGAGGTCAATGTCATTGAAAGAAAAATTTAGTGCTCCAGTTATCCTGGAAACGACAGGCATAGCTCACTACACAGGATGACAGGGGGAAACCCCAGTGGGCTTCTGTCATGGGCAGAAAGGAGCAAGGAGGAAGGCAGAGGCCACAGCCTTTATTAAGTGGAAAGGCAAGGCAGGGCAAGGTAGACAGCTTAGAATTGGCTAGTTTGAGTAATCAGGCAGGCTTTGGGACATAGGGACTGTCCCTAGTTATGTGATACCCGGCCCTGGGTTGATTTAGGACAGGGGAAATATTGGCTTGTCGTGTGAGATTTAGATAAAAGAAGTGGCTGAGTATGGGCTCTGGATTGCAGACGAAATGTCAACTTCGGCTGTTAGTTTGGCCCTGTGACTGACGGATGCCAAATAGACAAATACAGAATCTAAGAAAAAGCAATTAGAACACCTACCAGCACCCTAACCTCTGTGTGTCTGAGTTCAGAACGCATCCTCTTCCTCCTCAAACCTTCCCTTCCCCCAGTTTCCTTAACCCAGGGACTGGTACCGCCATGCATCCCTGAGTCATACAGTCAGAAACCTGGGCATCCTTCATGATTTCTCCTTCTCTCCTGACCTCCAAACACCAAGTCCTATTCCATTCTGCCTCCTGTCTTAAAGATCTTCATTCCTCTCCCAAGCTCCTCCAGTCCAGGCAGCCACCTGCCATGCCAAAGTACTGTTAACAGCCTCCTAACTGGCCTGTTTCCATTCTCAGCCTCCTCCAATCAATCCGTTCTCCAAGTCGCCTGAATGATTCCTCTAAAACATAACGCTGGTCATGTTGCTCACCCCTTTGTAAAACTCTTTGATGGTTTTCCCCCATCCTTAGTCTAAACTCTCACATCCCTTGTGTAGCTGCTCACAGCCTGATTCTTGACCATCTCATATGCTCCAGACAACCAGATTTCTTTTGGTTCCTTTAAGAAGTCTCTCACACCCAGGCTTTTGCTTACGCTATTTCTGCTCCTGGAACAACTATTCGCTTCCCACCTCTCCCTTGCCTGGGAAACTCCTACTCAATTTTTGGTTTCACCTTAAATGTTATCATCACTTAACATCCGGGTACACTTGCTCTGACCCATGGTGTTCGGGCACCCTCCTCAGTGCTCTCACTGCAGCCAGTACTTCCCCTATCTAGCTAGCCCTGTGCCCTACCACAGGGGTTCAACCCTGACTACACATTTGAATCTTCCAAAGAACTTCCAAGTTATATTGATACCTAGTCTCCCCTCCAAACCAACTATAGCAGGGGGTGAGGCCTGGGCGCTGGTTGTTTTTAAAACTCCCAGATGCAGGGCGCCTGGTGGCTCAGTTAAACGGCCAACTTTGGCTCAGGTCATCATGTCATGGTTCATGAGTTCAAGTCCCACATCGGGCTCTGGGCTGACAGCTCAGACCCTGAAGCCTGCTTCATATTCTGTGTCTCCCTCTCTGCCCGCCACCCCCTTCTGCCCCCAGCTCACGCTCTGTCTCTCCCTCTCTCAAAAATATAAACATTAAAAAAATTAAAAAACAAAATAAAACTCCCAGATGATTCTAATCTTCAGTCACGGCTGAGAACCACTGCTCTATTAGATTACTTATTCGTTTCCACATTCCAGTGACGACAGGCAAGAGCATTCCAGGGGTATCCCACTGCCTGGTACAAAGTGGGGGATGAGTACGTATCTATTGTACTTACTTGACATTATGAAAGACGGTGTAGAGTGATGGTACGTGAATTTAACCCTTGTGTGTGTGTGACTCTATGTGGAATGCCATCCACCCAATAGCTGAAACCTATGTGACTGGGTGCCACAGTGTGAATGGCTGTGTCCAGTATGGGAAGTCCACTGGGAATAGCTGAACACTGCAGGACTGCAGGGCGTCACAAGGTGAGCGGCCACGTCCTGAATGTGAAGTTCACAGTGAATGGCTGCCCTGTGTGAAAGGGCAGGATGTCACCAAGGAGTGGCTGTGTCCTGTGTGTCAGTGACTGGTTGACTGGGGGACCGTAACCAAACTGCCTAACTAGCGTGGCGGGGGCAGAGTTTGAGGATGGCGCTAGAGGCACGTCTCACCAAGATGGAGGCTAGGGAGAGGGTGGTGGTCCTTGCAAGGGGCGGCACCGCTAGTCACCGGGAGGCGGAAGCAGGAGGCGCCCAGGCGCGCGAAGCGGGCGACGGACAGGGAGGTCACCACTGGTAACTCGATTCTGCTCGGCGCGGGTCGAGGTCCGGGCCCCGCCCTTTGCCACGCCCGCCGCGGGGCGCGGCGACGGTGGGCGGGGCGGGGCCCGGACCCTCGCCCCACCCGGCAGCGGAGGCCGTCCACAGACTGTCCAATGGCGTGTAAGGGGCGGGGCCCGGCGCACACCTGCCGGCCTCCAGGCCAAGAACCAGGTGCAGGAGCCGGTCAAGAACTGGGAAGTCAGAACCCGACCACCCAAGATGCTGAGCTCTTCTCAGAGCCCTCAGACTGGCACCTGGACAGAGCCCTTCTCTCTGCTTTTGGGTCTTGGCGCTACCCTCTACTTGGGCTACTACTGGATATGTGTGCCCCAGGTGGGTGCGGGTCCAAAGCTCTGGCCGGCAGGTCTAGGATACTCGGGCCTAAGGGCCAGCTTCCAGCCAGGGGATAGAGCCCTTTGTGGGAGGTGGCATGATTGGGCCCCCTGCCCCAGGTGAAATTTGATGCCCCAATTCCACCACCAGCCCTGCCATGCTACAGCAGTGTTCTGTTTTGCTATTATCACCTAACGAAGAGGTTTGCTTCTTTGTCTGCCTAGATTCTCTGCGTCCCAAACGCTCCCCATGCCAGTTGGGCCTTTCAGCCATCAGAGGGGTGCTGCTCCCTATGATAGAGACAAACAGTTGAGGAAGGGCCGGCTGGAAGGCATCCTCAGGTGTCAGGGAGACGCTTTCCTCTTCTAAAAAGGCAGTCGAGTTGAGTTTCTCACTAACTTCACAGAACAAAGGAACCGGAGGCCTGTGCAGATGTGGCTGACTCCCACCATCCTGTCCACTTAGCAGAGCCTTGCTTCTCTTAAGGGCGGGTAGAGGTTCCCTGTGTAGCTCAGGACTCGTGGATAACCCTGTCGTTGTTCATTCAGCCCTGTGTTAAGTTCTAGGCTCTCTGCGTATATATAATGCAATGGTAAAGTCTCAAGAGGTTGATTTTGATGAACTTGGACACTGAAGTTGAACACTGAAATTTAGACAAAATACATAATTCATATATCCAGAAAAATCTAAATCTTTTATTCTTCATTAAGCTGTTCTAGGTAACTGAGTCTAATGAAAAAAGATCTATTGATTCAAGCCCTTAAAGATCTATAGGGAATTTAAATGTAATCTAAACTTTCTGTATTTTCAGAGCTTTCTACATTCGCATGTATTAAATCTGCCTTAATAAAACAAAAATCCAAATCTCACAGTACCCTATAAATCCTACCTTATATGCCTGATTTCAAAAGTCAATCATTTCAGACCAGAGCTGTCCTTAATAAACATTTTCCTTTGCTTGGACCAGCCACAAAGAACTCAGAGACCTCTGCCATTTTTTACTCCAAATCCCTCCTTGACTTCCAAATATTGGTTACAATGCAGGAAAAAGCACATTCTGGAAGCCCTGAGGAGTTTGGATTGTCCAGCATGATAATGGACTATTATTGATTTACCCACAGTGACCAATGGCATATTACTAATTAATTCTCAGGAATGAGTCAAGAAATACTTCACTATGGGGCGCCTGCGTGGCTCAGTCGGTTAAGCATCTGACCGGCTCAGGTCATGATCTCACGGTCTGTGAGTTCGAGCCCTGCGTCGGGCTCTGTGCTGACAGCTCAGAGCCTGGAGCCTGCTTCAGATTCTGTGTCTTCCTCTCTCTCTGTCTCTGTTTCTCCCCCATTCATGCTCTGTTTCTCTCTGTCTCAAAAATCAATAAACGTTTAAAAAATTTAAAAAAAAAGAAATACTTCACTAGAGCTAAAATGAAATTAACCCATATAAATCAAATGTGTGACCTAGTTTATTCTACACTACTGAGCTTATTTGATCAAGAATTCCCTAAATTGGGGCACGTGGGTGGCTCAGTCGGTTAAGTGTCCGACTCTTGATCTCCGCTCAGGTCATAATCTCGTGGTTCGTTGAGTTTGAGCCCCAAACTCTGCCCTGACAGTGTGGAGCCTACTTGGGATTCTGTCTCTCCCTCTCTCTTCCCCTTCCCTCCTTGCATTCTCTAACTAAACTTAAAAGAAAAAATTCCACAGATTGATGACAACTCAAAATCCTGGCAATTAGGAAGTAATATAGTACGGTGATTAAGAGCATAAGCTCTAGAGTCAGACCTGGGTTTGAATTCCAGTTCCGCCACTAGCTGTCTTTGGCAGGCTTCATGACCCTTGACAACTTACTCAACATTCCAGCCTGTTCCCACGGGGGATCACAGGATCTACTGTCAAAGAGCTATTGTGAAAATCACAGGGTATAATTATGTAAAGTGCTTAGCACAATGCTTGAAACATGAGCACTCAACAAATTCAACCTACTAGTATTGGTGGTAGTATCATAATTGCGAATTCTGCTTTGCCTCTTGCTTGCTGTGTGACTTTGGGCAAACAACTTAAACTCTTTGAGTTGCCATTCCTTCACCTATGAAATATGCTCCCTCATAAGGTTGGGCTTAGCCTAGAACCTGCATATAGCATACAATGAATCTCAAGCATTATTATTCCGGGGGTTAAAGACCATGTTATGAGTCACATCTCTCAACAGCTGCGCTAGCAACTTGGCCTCTCTAGTTCATAATTTACCCAGCCTTTTTTGGGTACTAAAACTGCAGAAGACATAGGAATCTGGTCCTCAGGTTCCTTAGGGCTTGCAACAGCAATAGAAATTTCTTGAGACTGTGACCTTTTGGCTTTGTACAGCATGCCCCTGTTTCATAAGCCTGCTATGCGGCTAGCCCTCTCATTCACTTGATGTGTACCCAAGAACCAAGCAGAGGGGTGGAAAGTCAGAGCCGAGTCCCCACTGACTTGTCTGTCCCTGCCATTGTGTTACCTTCCCTCTGGCTGGCATGAAACAAGAAGAAAATCTGTTCACATCGAGACCATTCCTCCTTTGGAGTATGGTCTGGCGACAGGGGTCCTATGAGCGAGAAAATGAGGTGCTGTGGTAGAAGCAGCAGTGAGCGCGTGGTAGGGAGGGACCGCGAGTATGTGGCAACGGGGTGCTAAAATCAGGCGCAGCCAGCATGGCTGGAGCTAGTCTGAGGAAGAGGAGTGTGGTAAATCAATTGCAAGGCAGAAGTCACAGACTGAATGGTACTGCATTTCTTCAGCCTCTGACTAGGATGCCAACCCTTTCCGCAAGGACTCAGCTGGGCAGTTGATATTACCTGCTCTCTGCAAAATGGGTTTGGGGCACAGATAGCCTGAGCGGAGGAGTCAGCACTCAGTCAGCTGCAGCAGTTCCCAGCCCTGGTTCCAGGTCAGTTGAGTCCGTGCCGGAGGTTGCCCTCCAGGACTGGAGTTCGCCCTCCAGGACTGAAGTTCTTTGGGGCTCCAGCTGGACTCTATTATAAACAGAGGTGACTTGGCCATTCCAGGCTAAGGTATGTTAGGTCTCTCACCCCCAGAGGCCGGCCTCTGGAGAGGGGTTGCTCTGGTGTCAGGTGCCTCACTGGCTGTGCAAAATCCAGGGGAGTGAGGTAGACTGTTGTGGTTACAGAGGCCTCAACTGGTGACTGGGCCCCGGTTTCTGGCCCTCCTGGAGCAACGCTGTCCGATCACTCTGGAGACTTTCTACCCTACGCTGTGGTGTTTTGAGGGGCGGCTACAAACCATCTTTCGAGTCTTGCTGCAGTCTCGGCCTCCAGTCCCTTACCGGAGGTAAGAAGGGACAGAGCGGGTGAACAGTAAGCTGCAACTATAGGGAAATCCTGTCTACTTCTTAAAACTGAAGGTAATCTTTGCCCCACGTACCTCAGTGTGTTGAGGATAACGAGAGTGGTTATACAGAAGGGCTATTTGATTGCACAACAGTGAGGTAATATTTAATCTTTTACGTCCCATTACACCTTGTTATGGTCTTAATGTGGGGCACACTGTGTGCCCTCAAATGATACAGGAGGGAAGTTGTGGGAGTTGTTTGTGGGGAAGAGAGGTAAACCTTCTGAAGCACACGGAGTTCCTCATAGTATCTTGGTGTGCCCTTTTCTCCAAAACCACAGCGAAGTCCTCCAAACCCCAGATGGAGGACAGCTCCTGCTAGACTGGGCTGGCCAGCACAACAGCAGTCAATATCCTGACCCCACCACCCAGCCCATTGTATTACTGCTTCCTGGTATCACAGGCAGTAGCCAGGACTCCTATATCTCACAACTAGTCAACCAAGCTCTGAGGGATGGTTATAGGTAAGGATGGGTCCAGCCCGGAGGCCGTGGGTGGTATCTGAGGCCTTGTAATAGGGAGGCCGATCAAGACCCTGATACCTCTGGGAAGAAAGCACTATATGAGGGGCACTTCTGACTGGGGTCTTCCTGAAGGCTACCAAAAGGGGAGCGGGGCTTCTAGGAAAGGCCTGGCTGAGACGTACCTGTGTGTGTCACAGAGCTGTTGTATTTAACAACCGAGGCTGCCGTGGGGAAGAACTGCTGGTGAGTATCCTTTCCTCATCGTAGCCCTTTACCCCACTCCCTTAACAGATCCTTGGCCCTGGGGCTCTACCTACCCATCCTTCTTCCATTTTCCTTCCATCTCTCGAACCCTCCCATCTTTCTGCTTCTGGCCAGGGCCTCCCTCCCTACCCAATTATCTGGTTTGCCTCAGACTCACAGAGCCTTTTGTGCCAGCAACACTGAAGATCTGGAGACAGTCGTGAGCCACATAAAGCACCGCTACTCCCAAGCTCCACTGCTGGCTGTGGGCATCTCTCTTGGAGGGTAAAGGTTGCCTGGGCTTGACCCAAAGGTCCAGTCTTCCTTTGTTTCCTCCCCCATGTCCTCTCCCCCTTTCCCAACTCACTAACGCAAACCCTTCTTTCACGGCCCCTGGATCCATCCTTCAGGATATTAGTGCTGAACCACCTAGCTCGAACAGGGCAAGATTCGGGGCTGGTGGCAGCACTGACTCTATCTGCATGCTGGGATTCCTCTGAAACCACCCGCAACCTGGAGACCCCACTCAACTCACTGCTCTTCAATCAGCGCCTCACTGCTGAGCTCTGCCACATTGTGAACCGGTAGGGTTTTGGCAAGTGGGAGGGGGCAGCAGGCAGGATGGGATGGCAGAAATACCAGGTTCTCCCAGTTTTGGACTGGTTTTGTAACTGGGTTTGCTTATTCATGAGATACGATAGGGTCAGGTCCAGGAGAGTCACACCTCTATGAACTCTTTTGCAGAAACAGGAAGGTGATGGAAAAGGTGGTGAACGTAGACTTTGTGCTACAGGTAGAGTCTTTCAACCACCACCCCCTACCCAAAATTGTTCAGTATCTTCTTATTCCCTATCCTCATCCTAGCGTACCCCACCCTCTGCCATATGCAGGCCCGCACAATCCGCCAGTTTGATGAGCGCTACACAGCTGTGGCTTTTGGATATCAAGACTGTGTTACCTACTACCAAGCAGCAAGCCCAAGAACCAAGGTAGATGCCATCCAGACCCCTGTGCTCTGCCTCAATGCAGCTGATGACCCCTTCTCCCCAGTCCACGGTGAGCACCCTGAATCTGGATGCTTTACAGGCCCTGGGGAAAACAGGTGGTGAGGTGCAAGGGGAGAGAGACTGGGCTCTCAGAAAAGGCCAGTTCCTGACCTCCTCTCTAACCCCTCCCCAAGCCCTTCCCGTACAGGCTGCCCAACATTCTCCCCATGTTGCACTGCTCATCACAGCCCGGGGTGGCCACATTGGCTTCCTGGAAGGGCTGTTCCCCTGGCAGCACAGCTACATGAACCGCCTCTTGCATCAGTATGCCAAAGCCATCTTCCAGCACCCAGTGTCGCTGCTCAACCTCAGGGATCTCTCACCTTCTGAGGGAGGCAAGAACTGACAGGAGTACCACCAGGGTCTCAGTTCAGTCTTTGCTTGTTTATTAAATATCAACTTTTCCAGGGGCGCCTGGGTGGCGCAGTCGGTTAAGCGTCCGACTTCAGCCAGGTCACGATCTCGCGGTCCGTGAGTTCGAGCCCCGCGTCGGGCTCTGGGCTGATGGCTCAGAGCCTGGAGCCTGTTTCGGATTCTGTGTCTCCCTCTCTCTCTGGCCCTCCCCCGTTCATGCTCTGTCTCTCTCTGTCCCAAAAATAAATAAAAACGTTGGAAAAAAAAAGAAAAAAAAAAATCAACTTTTCCTGCTGAATGTGCTGAGGTTCATTTTCCCTTTTCTCAAGGATAGGGAAGACCATCCAGGAACTTATTGTATATGTCACCTGGCTGGCTTGGAGCTACCCGGCTGGACCCAGAGATTACTGCCTGGGTCTTCCTTTTGCCCCTTCCTTCCCTAACGGCAAGTCCCAGGCCAGTGCTTGCTTCAGCAAACGCCAGGGGTTCACGTGAAGACCCAAGTGATGGACAGCAGTACCTCCAGGTTCTTGGGCATCCTCACATATTTCTGGAGAAAGGACAAGCTCAACTTTGGAGCCTCTGGCAGGCAGAGGAAGAATGCAGGTGGTGTGGCCTGGCCTTCAGATACCACTGTCCTGGGAGGATCCACGGATGAAGAATGAAGGGTTCTCAGGATTCAGAGTCACACAGAGCCATAGCCAAGCTTTAAGTGGGCAGGGCAGGCAGTGCCCGTCAGTCTCATCAGAGGAACGCCAACTATGGATTCAGGTGGAATGAGCAATGGGGTTCAGGCCTCCACTCTGTTCTAGAAGGTAGTAATGTCCAGGCCCCTGATTCCCTAAGAGCAGAAAGGCTAAAGAAAACCTGGAAACACACTCTGGAGCAGCAGGATGGTCATAACAATAAGTCCGACACATAGCAGGAGCAGCAGCCACACAGGAACACTCCCTGCAGGAGGGGTAAGGGAAGAAGTCAGCAGGCAAAGGGGCTTCACAGCCCTACGAACAAAACCATTCAAGAAGGGGACAGATGGCTACAAACAAGCGGCCCATTCTCCAAGGGGCAAGTTTTTGCTATAGCTAGAGGTAGGGCGGTACCCACCCCCATCCCAATGACTCACTCCGTGAGGGCAGCAAGTGCAGCTGGCAACGACTATCCACAGCCACAGAGAACAGGGCAGTTTCATGGAAGCCAAGGAGCTCTGGACCACGACCCTTCTCAGGTAGAAAGGCCACATCTGTCACGACAATGCCATGAGCCTCCCTCACATAATAGAGGCGCTGGAGACAGGAGAAGAACTATTGACGGATGGCCCTGTTCAGAACATTCCCCTAGAAAACAATCTCCCTGTCCCCAGATGGCTTTTCCTCTAGAGCTGGGCCAGACCCTTCCTACACACTTAGGTTCGAGCAGGCCCAGAGTCCCCACCCCAAAGAGCCCTCAGGGCTGTGCCCACCTTTACCCATTACCTGGAGAGAGAAAGCTATGTAGATGGCAACAGAGCCAGTGACTGTGCCCAGGCCTAGGAAGGTGCCCGATTCACTGCAACAAAAAATAAAGTGCTCACTGTCCCGGGGGCCTATGCAGCAACATTCACCAATAGTACTCTTCAGAGCCTCAGACAGGACATCCTTCCAAGCTCCCCAGGCACCCCACAACCAGCCAAGTCACCACTGTCTCACACCTGACACTAAGGCAGGAGATGACTTCATGGCCGCAGGACTTAGTCCGAAGGGGCAAGAAGGTGGAGCCATCCCAGGCTGTGAGGTAGCAGGGTGGGGGCTGGCGCAGACGCTTGTGGGGAATCTGCACTGTGAAGAGTCGCAGCCTGGCAGGCTGGTCTGGAACCTGCCCAAACCTGGGGGCCAGGTGAGAGGATATTCAGCTCCTGGGGCCTGCTCAGCCCTTCTCAGAGGTTTGTGCCCTCCTGCACCCTGGTCAGGCCTGGGGTAACACCCACCAAGGCTACAATCCTCCCCAGCTTCCCCCCAGTCTCTTCCCTCTCCCCCACCACATCTAGGCTGTGCCTCTTTTAGCTACCCTCTGGGGTCTCACACCTGCAGGCCTGGTAGCGGTAAGGCGTGTTAGAAAAGGTGGGTCCGTTCTCTTGCCAGTGCAGCTGTGTCACCAGCTGATCCTTCTGCCACACGGAGGCCTTAAGGTCCCAGCCCACAGTTACCAACTAGTCAGGAATCAAGATTCCAAGGATGGACAGTTAGGGGATCCACTTACTGGACAAGCAGCATAATCACCTACTTTTTTGACACTCTCACTTCCTCACCTTGCCATCAGGCCCCAAAGCCAGGTCCTCAATCTCTCCTTCATGGGCTCTGAACTCCAGAACTTTCTCTAGGCTGGGTACCTGCGACCAAACCACCATCATGGTTACCCTAGGTCCCCAGCAAGGGTGCAATGATCCCCACCCTTCTTTTTTTCTGCCACTCAGTACAGGCTCCACTCAAGTTTCCCAGAACCCATGATCAGTTCATCACAATCTGACCTTGCTGCTACTGACACTCATCCTCTAACCCACAAAACCACACCTTCCAGATACGAACGTAGCCATCCGTCCCTCCAGTGGCGAGCAGGGTGTTATCGTGGTTGAAGCATACAACTTTTTGCAACGGATCAGGGCTGAAGTCTGTCTGCACAGCTTGCAAATTCTCTACACTGAGTTCTACCCCCTCCTGGTGGGTTTCAGCTCCAGACTTCTTCTCTACCGGGGCTGCCCCCTTCCTCTGTCGTGGCCCCTGTTCCTTGCAACCTGAAATACAAAGAGTCTGCCAGGTTTCAGGGCCCTATAGTAAGTAGTACTTGCCCCCTCCCTAGTAGTGAACATCCAGCTTCTTGCCTGCTACCATAACCCACTTCCAACCCCTTTTTTTGGAACCAAAATAAGTGATCTTACTCATTTAACCCTTACCCCAAAGCTAAAGAGGGAGCTTCTCACCTGCCTTCTCTGTCTTGTTTTTGCCCTTCTGCTGATGGGTCTGGAAGCGCAGAAGCTGACAGTGGGCATCCTGCCCTGCAGCAAGGATGTTACCAGCCAGCGCCAAGTTCATGGTAGCCCGTGTCTCTGTGTCATGAGAGTGTAGCAAAGAGGCACTCAGGCGCCCATTAATTTGTTCTAGCTGCAGAAAGTGCTGTGGAAGAGGGAACCAGGGTGAGCAAGGTGCAGAGGCGCCCAGAGAGCACCTCAAGGACAACCTTACATCCTATAGTCTAAAGCCCTATCTCTTTGCTTACTACAGTTTCTACTTAAAAGGCTTTTCCCAGCCTGCTTGCTTCTTTCCTTTTCTTTCTTTCTTTGGAACCTCACAAATCTGTACAGAAAGGAGGGTTGGGATTAATACCTGCAGTTTACAAAATAATTGGGTAATCCTCAGAAGAGTGAAGAACCCTTGCCTAAAGACCAAATGCAGCACCCTTGCCGCTGCTAGAAAGCAGAGACACCGGTCTATGCGATCTCCCCAGAAAAGACCAGGATAAGACCCCTGGAGCTGCTTGTGAGGTTGAGTTGAAGCGTTCCTGCCTAAGCGGTGTCGTGTGCTGTTTTTACTCCACTTTACGATTCGTGGTAAGTTCTCAGGTGAAATTCCCGCCAGGGCGCCGGGCTTTCCACCGGGGAGGGGGCAAGCTAGAAATGCAGCTAGTGTGCAGCCGGAGGTACAGCCCAACCCCAAGACCCCTTATCCCCGTCGCCCGTGCCGTGACCGGCCCCAGTGTCCCTGAGCTCTCACCACGCCATTCTTTATGCCCGTCTTGGCAGCGCCTCCTCCGCCCGCAGCGATGAGCAGCCCCGCGCTGGGGTCGACCTGAAGCGCGTACAACGGGAACGGGGCCCGGTACAGCTCGGGCGCCCGGCGCCGGCCCATCCTGCTCGCCGCGCGCTTCACTGTCCGCACCGGGGCACCCGGGACATGCCACGCCCGGCTTTCGACCACTCTCCCTGCCGCGATTCAACTTGAGCCCGTCGCCGCCAGGAGGATTCTCGACTGCTCCCTCGCACCCTCGGAGTTGCCAAAACTCTTCACCACACTCAGGAATCCATATCTCCGCCCCGAGCGGTCTTAACCCTGTCCGGTGAACGCGCAGTGCGCACGCGCACTTAGCCCTGGGCTCTCCTTGCGCAGGCGCAGGCCCGCCAATACGCGTCAGCACTAGCGGGCATCGGGATGACGCAAGCCCCGCGCCAAGATTCTGTCCGCCTGGGTCGTGAGTCTCCGTCGTGTTTGCGTGGGGTCAAAGAGGCAGGCTCCCCTTCCAGGGGATGTGCTTGGTGATTCTGGGGGAGGAGGGGAGCTAATAAAGGTTAAAAGAGGCTAATAAACCTTTACAAAAAGAAATCCTTGGATGCTCCTGGCTGTCAGTCCCAGGGCATGCTTCCCTTGATCTCTGTGTTGTCAATTCGAGCCCTACCTTGGGCGTAGAGATTACTTAAAAATAAAATCTTAAAAAAAAAAAAAAAAA